CTTTACTCAGCATACCCTTTTCTTCCTCATTCTTGGAGTGTTAGAAGTTGGATCTTGCATCCTCTTTTGCCTGCTCCTACTGTAACTTCTACTTTCTATTTTCCTTCCTACCTTCTTCCCAAGCCATTTTCATTAGTCCTAATGCCAAGGACAAAACAGTTGTCACTGACTCTGTCATTCCCTATCACTACTCCTTATTTCCCTCACCTAAAGTGTCTGTCTGCCACAGTACTGCTCTAAAATCTTCCACATATTTTATTTCATTTTATCTTCAAAATATAAGGTGTGTAGGGCAGAACACAAAATTTATATCTCATAAACTATAAACTGAGTATCATGTAGTATAAGTAATGTGTTTGCCCACATTTTCAAAGCTCATCAGAATGGAGACTAAAACTCAGGGATGTACAATTCTTAGTTCAGTGTTTTATGATGCAGAATTGTACAATAGAAAGCATAAGTTTCAAAATAGGTATTCCTGAGATTTGAATTCTAGTCCCATTGCTCATAGTGCGCTGTGATATCCTGGATTAGTTACTTAACCTTTCTAAGCTAAAATCTGAAAACCCAGGGAAGATTTCAGACAATCAGTACAAAAACCTCCTAGAAATAAATGGAAATACATCTAGCTTCAGTTCATTATTTGGATTTGGTTGGGCATCTTAAATCCAGGTTCTAGGGAGAATAAAAGCAATTACAACAAGGCAAAATAAAATAGGCTCTTTACACTCAGGTGGGGAACTGCCAAAAAGCACCTCATACATTTTTAAACATTCTCCATTACTATTCTAAACAGTCTTCTGTTACAAGCACCTAGCAGTTCTTTCCAGGTTAGAGATCTTCTTTAAGGAACCATGCCCTGTGTGGCTGCAGCAGGCTTCCATACTACTTGTGAGCCTCAGCTTCCCCGGTGGGGTGAGACCAAGACTCCCACCTCACACGTCAGAGCCTTTCCCCAGATTTTCACCTTTCAACCATATGCCCTTTTTGGGTGGTCTCCAATTTGGAGTTTTTTCTACGGTTGTCCATGCTGCTTTTTGATTCACATTCTTTTCCTGCATCACGATACACTCTCACTCCCTTCAAACTGTTCCACATAGCCTTCAGCTTCACCTGCTGAATGTGAGGCTGGACACTTTGGTGAAGTACTTGCAAGTATCACCTCATTTAATCCTCAACAACCCTTAATCAACCCTGTGATCAACAACAATCAACTAACAATATAATTATTAGTCCCATTGTACAGGCAAGGAAACCAACATTGAGAGTCAGAGATTGGTGACTTATCCTGATTCCCACATTTAGAAAGCGATGCCTGAATCCAGCTTGAACTCTAAATTCTGATTTTTTAGTAGTCCTACTCAGCTAGCCCCCATGCTTCTTTCCACCATAGTATAAAGCTCATTTCCTCTTTGGGAAAGCAGAGTGCTAATTAATGTTCTTACTGATTAATTAGCATATGCAAAAAAGTGAGCCCATGCTATTTGACCAGGTGCTGAACTGCTGAACTGTGTCTGTGCTGTTGTCAAAAGTCTTCAGAACAATGCTGTCCTTCCAGCATCGAAAACTTCTTGAATACAAACTTTATCCCTGTAATGCAATCTTCCACATGAGCACTAACTAAGTGGGTTTTATTGGAAATAAACTAACAACAAAAACTTAAGTTAAAACAGACTGACAATTACCTGTCTCCGAGAAGGGGAGACAAAAATAGAAGGCTTATTGATCATCCTTCAGACGATTACTATGAGCCTTCAGTGTGGCCAAGCTACATGGTCTTCGATTTTCTGCATCAGTTCCACTTTCAAATGTTTTGTCCTATTCCCCTGTTGTTGATTAATAGTTGTCCAATTGTGTGTCCCCATTCTATGTTTGTAAAATATGGTCATGGTACTTAAAAATAAACTTCTATGTAAAATTAAAAAAAAAAAACAAACCCTGGCCTTAGTTTTGAGGTGTTTTATTTTTGAAACTTGTCCCAAAGGCTTTTTTCTCTGAGACATGAGGACTCTTTTTATTTGCCTTCATGCCAATCCATTAAGCCCCCAAACATTCCTCTGCATGGCTGCTGGAAGTTTGCTGCTGACACTCTCTCTCCAGGTAGCTCCTGCCACCACCCATTCAGCATCGAACCCCTGGGGTTGAGCCTCCAACTTTCCGGGATCTCTCTTATTGGATCTTTTTCTTTCTTCTTTTCCCTCTTGCTGCTTACCTTTTAGAAACCATTCTTTTCAGGTCAAAAGTCAGATATTTACGCTATTTTAGAAAAGCATCTAAAAGTCATTGCCCGCCTCCTTATTTGGCGGAGAGAAAGACAAGATGGAATATTTGGGTGTGGTAGCAATGAAGGCAGGAGCAAGGGGAAAGTGACCAGAGGAGGTCTCATTACAGTGACCTAGAAGAATTCACTTTACTGGCATCAGTTCTCCTATTTACTCCTAGAAGGCAGTAGCCAGTGGGTCCTCTATGGAATTGTGCTACACTTAAGCGCTCCACCATTTCATACCCTTGTTATGATCTCTTGTCGTTAGATTCCAGTATTTCCTGATTATGAATCACGTAATAGATCACTTTCAGTCAGATGACAGCCCCTACAATGCCATCTAACAAGGGAGAAAGTGAAGGGTAGTAAGATATATGAGACCTTAACCAGCCATTTTCTTGAGAGGCAAGAGAGTACATAGCCCTTGAAGCCAGCAACCAATGTTAAAATCCTGGCTTCCACTTAAGAGCTATAGCATTTTGGATATGTTATTTAACCTCTCTGAGCCTCAGTTTCCCCATCTGTAAGATAAAGATTAAACACCACCACTTAGGTCGCTAAGTAGTTAAGAGTATGAAATAAGATAATGCATACGAAGCACTAAGCGCCTAGTATATGGGGAACACTCGTAAAGCCCCTAAGATACATCAGTGAACAAAAAGAGTTCAGTCTCTCTACATGCTCTATATCTTACCTCATATTTGTATAATGATGTTGTGGATTTTTAAAAGGTACCAGAGAGAAGCAATCAGCTAGTTTAGGTATAACGTTTTCTACCAGGGAGAAATAATATAGGTTGCACAATAGCCCACATGAGAAAAAAAAAATCATTTTTACCTGTTGTGCTCTCAAAGTAAGTATGCACTTATTCATGGTAATTTTAAAATTCGCTCTTAACCATCTCAGAATACTTTCAATGCAAAATTGTGCCCTCAAATTACCACTGCTAAAATAAAATGTAATTTGCTAAGGACAATCATGTTTGAAAAAAAAAAAATCTACCTGAAACACAACTCAATGGGTTCTGCCACAGTCGGTCAACATTTTCCATTTTGCTTATTTTTGCCACTTCCCTTAGCATGGGCTATTTGTGTTAGTGCCTGTTTTCTAACATCTGTACCTGCACCCACGTAAATGGAAGAATATATTTCTCATATGATAATGGAAAGTCTTCACTTAACACTTTCAACTTGACCTTTTCTAGACTGAAGGGAAGCTCTGAAGTGGAAGCTAGTCATCTCTACCTGCTGCCGACAGGTGGCGGTAGCAGTCATGCAAGGTTCTTTTAGTCTCGGCTCAGCTGCTCCACTGCGGTGATTCTCAACTAGCCAGGCAGCATCCTTGTGGTGTCTGTGCTAGGTTTTAAGATGTGTACAGACATTAACCCGAAAGCCTGTCTTTTAAGTACAAAACTAAAGGCAGGTTTGAATGTGGTGATAAAAAGTATAAGATGACAATGACAATAGTAGAAACCGAAAAATGATAAACATAGCACTTGTGGTGGAACACACTATTCTAAGACCTGAATGGCTGGCTGCAAAGGACAGTGCATATGTACTGAGTGCTGTATCTAAGCAGTGAACAATAGCAAGGAAAATAACTGAATAACTGATAGTATGTAGAAACAAAAAAACTCAAAGAAAAATAAAACGCTTTTTTTCTGCCATTAGGGAATAAGCCCCAGTGTCAAGTGGCAACTAGTCATATGACAATTAACTTAACATTAATGCAGGAGAGGCTAGGATTTGTTGGAAATTTAAAGCAGTGGTTGTCAATCTTAACTGCACACTAGAATCACCTGGGGAGCTTTTAAGACTCCCGAAGCCCAGGCCAATAATCAGAATCCCGAGGGGTGGGACTCAGGCATCAGCAGTGTTGAAAGCTCTTCAGGTGATTTTAATGTGCACCCAAGGTTAAGAACCATTGCCTTCAAATCTAAGCATGGGGAAAATGGGTTGCTACAGGTTCCATGGATTAAAATATATTTGGATGTACAGATCGATGTGTGTGATGAGTGTTAATACCTTGGCAAGAATTATTTCCCTATGACATTTGTATCTTCAAGGAGAGAAATCACCTGCCTTGAGGGATTTTTCCTTTTATAGTCTTGAAAACAGTATAGGTGAGAACATGTATTGCCAAGGAATAACAAGAGTATGCCTTTCATATACCTATTTGAAGAAAATGTATCCCAGAGCTACAAGCGTCAACATCCCTTAGTCATTTCAGTGAGTCCATTTATAAAAAAGTGGACACAAAAACCTTTTCAAAACTATAGGAGTTTCTAGATGCCAGCACCTTTCCCTCACTTTCATCTTTAAAAGATTGCTGGGCACAGTGGCTCACACGTGCAATCCCAGCACTTTGGGAGGTTGAGGCAGGTGGATCACACGCTGAAACCCTGTCTCTACTAAAAATACAAAAATTAGCTGGGCATGGTGGCAGGTGCCTGTAATCCCAGCTACTAGGAAGGCTGAGGCAGGAGAATCACTTGAACCTGGGAGGCGGAGGTTGCTGTGAGGCAAGATCGCATCTATGCACTCCGGCCTGGGCGACAAGAGCAAAACTTTGTCTCAAAAAACAAACAAAAAAAAAGGATTAATTGCTGGCCTACCCATGCTCTCAATGCAATCTGGTTACCTTCCATCACTAACAACCAAGTTTTACAGGAAAACAAATGCATGGTTTAGTCCTCAGTACAAACCCCCAGGCCCTTCTTGTTGCAGCCCCGTTTTACCTTATCTGCCATTATCATAGAGGAGCCCCCGTGGATGCCCAGGATAGGGGTGAGAGTCTGTGCGGAAATGAAATCGAGGATCTGGGCGATGGCTTCCTGGTCTGTGTCATCAGCAAACACCACCCCCTGGATCTTCCGGTCAGACATGAGATCACAGATGCGGGTGATGATGCTCTTTGGGTCGGTCTCATTCATGGCTACCAGTTCCACCCGAGGCACCACGGAGAGATGGTGGAAATCATCTTTCTCGTGGGCATCCTTGATGGCCACCTCGTCGGAAGTGCCCACGAGGATGACAGCAATGCCAATGCTGGGGGGGCTCTTCTGAGAACGAGCTCTGCTGCCTGACACGGCCAGGACAGCCAACACCAACCAGAACTTGGGAGAACAGCACTCCGCTCTGGGCTTCATCTTCAACTCGTCGACTCCCTGCAAACACAAAGAGAGAGGGAGTTAAAATAGGACCCACACCACATAACCTGTCTTAGAAGAGGCTAGCTACTGCAATTCAAGGACCTTATCTCCTTTCATTGAGCACCAAACCCAACTCCATCTACCAGCCTACTCTCTTATCTCTGGTATTTCCTCTGCAGAATGAGAGAAAAATGAAACTTTCAAAAACCTCAGAAATCCCTGAGCAAGGCAATAAAAGGTGCTGTTGCCATAGTCATTGGCAGCTACAGACAGAGACAAAAGAGGAAAAGAGATTGTGAGTGGTCCAGGTAGCCATGCGAGTATGCATACACAAGTCTCCTGGCCCTCCTGTTACAGCCCACCCTAGTACTGTTCTTGGGCTGAGGGACAGCAAGGCCAGGCAAAGTGAGCATAAAGATGTACTTAGCAGAGGTGAGCAACAGAACATGGGCTGGATAAACTGGATGTGGGGGGGGGGGGCTATAGGTACACAAGCCCTGCATTCTTGCTGCCTTCACCTTATGTTTGCCTCAGTAAGGATGACAGCCAGAAAATTCTTTAGTAACCTTGTTAGTATCTGGCTCTTAATATTAAATTACAAGAACAACCGATACATGACTAGTATTTTTAAAACACTGCCTCAATTGATCCTTACAATGACCCAGTAGGGAATAAAATAAGAAAAACATTATCATCCCCATTTTATAAATGTTGACGCCAAGGTTCAAAGAAGATAAGTGTTCTAAGACCATGTGCCAATCAATTAAGTGAAACAAACCTGAACCCACATCTTCTGACTTTTGTATTCCAATATGTGTTCCATTACACTACATGGAACTGCCTCTCATATAACCAATTATTATAAGGAACATATATTACTCCGATCTATTTATGCACCAAAATACAGAAACTTAAATACCATTAGCAGCCACATTTGAAAAATGTTCCTTTTTTTTTTCTGATGCCATCCTATGGCCATGACTTCTCTAAAATGACTGATGCCGTATTTTCATATAATTTCATATAATTCACATAATTTCATATAATTTACCACCTTTTACCTACAAAGAACTCCTTTTTTACTTCCACATATGACCCTAAATCTTACTCTATGCAGTAGACTAAGGACATAATGCTCTATAGAATACAAGCCTTGGCCATCTCTCTCTAAGCTTCTCATCATTCTCCAAGAGCCCCTCTTAATATAACTAGTTCTGCTTATGTTGCTTTATTTTAAATAATCAATGTTCACTATTTGGGTGACAGCTACACTAAAAAGCCCAGATTTCACCACTATACAATATATCCATGTAACAAAAGCACACATGTACTGCCCGAATCCATAAAAAATTAAAAATTTTTAAAAATCATTTATTGTACATCTTTTTATGCTGCACACTGTGTTAGGCATCTTGTCATATATAATCTCTCTGATCTTCATGGACACCCTATAAATTAGACATTTTATTCCCATTTATCAAGTAGAAAAACAGAAGCTCAACACAGTTATGTAATTATCCAAGGTCAACGGCATTATAACACCAGCATGCCAATACATAAACACAGCATTTTAATACTCTAAGGCAATATTCTACAAACTGCACCCAGAACCAAAACCAGATTCACATTCTTTTACAAAGAGAGAGACGCATGCAATCAAGGATAAAAATGCCGCTTCAGATCTCCTGCTTGTTTAAAAAAAAAAAAAAAAATTGTAAGAGATTAAAAATCTATAAATGTTGAGAGATTAGCTAATTTTAAAAATCATGAAGGTATTGAATAAAGAAAGATAACGAAGTGTTCGGGCTGAGCAGTCAGTCTTGACTGCAAAGGGCGTTAATGATTTGGGAGCAAGATGCTGGGGACATTTTGTGGCTGAAGAAGCACAAAATCCAATCCAGTTCTTGGCATAAAACATTTTGGAACTTTTACTGGTGTAGTCATCCTTCAACACTGCCAAGAAGGAGGCCTGTATTGATTGCCTTGTCTTTCTCTCACAAATAAGATGAGTAGCTCAGTGGTTCATGCCTGAGCAAAGTTTACTCCTGAAAGTTTTCTGATCTCAGTGTCTCTGTGAAAACAGGGAATGACTCCACAAGCCCTGGAAACCTTTGCTGATGGACTGTATCCAATTTAGCAGGAGAACCAGGGCCTGAATTCCTCCTCCCAGAACTTAAAGGAAAGCAACAATAGATAGACAATTGAGTAGGACTGATATTCAGAGGAAGACAGAAGGGGTTTAGCACCACAAAGAGCTGTGCACAAACCACATACACACACACACACACACACACACACACACACACACACACACACGAGTTCAATTCCAATGACTGGTTCTCAAGGAAAGCCAAAAGATTTACCATTTGGCAAAACTATAGGCTAACTTCATTCCAATGGTATTCTAATCCTACAGTTACAAGTCACTAAATTAGTTTCCTTCACATTTAAAAGTGGCCCACTCTGCCATGACAGTTTATTAACTTTAATGCACTCCACTCTCCCACTTTGATGTTTTATTTGCTCTCTCTAAAATATATCTTGTGTTCTTCTATTTTGTCTCACACAATATATTATATTTGGCTATGCAATGGCTAGTTGTGACGCCCAAAGAATAGCATCTAGTTTTACAGAGCATCTCATTTATACTCAGGATACAGCGAAGCACTTTATAAAGCAATACATTATGGGAGATAACAGTAACAGAGGGGCTGTGAGACAAACAAAGAGGCTACTTTGAATACAAACTCAATTTCAAACATTAAAAGGGGATTCGTTGAGAGAAAGCATGTAGTTCAAGATAAGCAGAGTTCCTTTGCTCACTTCCTCACAGAGACCATGGTAAGTCTTGATTCACCTGCTCTAGGAAGTCTTGCTCCCCATGTAGAATTGAGCATTGCTTCCTTTGGGCTCTCACCATAGCCTGCATGTATTTATCTAAATATGCATAAGCTTTTATTATCAATATATGATGATGTGTCCACCTGCTTTAACTAGTTGATAACCTCCTTGTGAGCAGGGACTTTTTCAGTTCAGTAAGCATTTATTGAGTACTTACAACCTAGTGAACTTTTTTTTCCTTTTTTTTTTTTTTAGTGGTGAGGATGCAACAGATACAGATTCTATCCTTCAGGACCATGGTCTAGCGCAAGACACAGACATAGACCCCTAAAGAAAATGTTGCCTCACTTTATTCATATTCTTGAACTCTAACAGTGCCTATATGCAATAAGGAAGGACTCAATAAATGGTGGCCAATATTGAGTTTCTACCATTAGGTTGAACCATATAAAATTGTTAATATTTGACCATTTTTGACCTATAATAGTTCAACCTGCTGTGTGCCAGATATTACTATTGCCAGGTAATTTTCATGCATTATTAGATACTCACAAAAACATTGGAAGTCATACTTTCCCTTTATCACAAATGAGAAAACTGAGGGTTAAGTACATGACCAAGATTACACAGCTAATAAGGGATAGCATCGATTTTCAAACCGAAGTTTGTCTGGATCCAAAGCCCTTCCTCTTTTCCTTCCAGGACCTCTCAGTATGAGTGTTGAGTGAGTGACTGACTGACTGAATGAATGAATGAATGAATGAATGATTGAATGAAATCACCAACCAAAACCAACTGGTGTTTTAATACCAGTTCTGCGTTAACACAGTGCCTGAGGATGGGCGAGTCACCTAATTACCATCTCTATGCTATCATCGGTGAAACCAGGATAATATACCTAACCTACATACCTGAAAGATTTTTGTGAAGATCAAATGAAAATATGTATATGGAAGTGCTTTGAAGAATCTAAAATACTCTACAGATGCAAAGGATATTACGTTTAAGCTTCTATAGAAGCTGTTCAAGGAGCCTAGCTATTTATGATAGCACAAAGTGAGCATGTGGGAGGTGAGGGTGAAAGAATGGCAGACAGAGGCTGAAAGGAATGTTAAGAGGAAACTCGCATGGGGCAAAAGATATTAGTTCCCTGAGCGATATAACTCCCTGAAGAAGACGTCACACAATGGCCTTGGGGTAGCAGCGACCTCCACTGACAGCTTACTAGTCATGTAGATTAATTCAAGAGTCACTCAGGCCAGGGACAGTATTGGGAATCAGTGGAGCTCAGCATATCCAAATCATGCCATGAATTCAGAAACCAGGGTGCACCAGCAGGACTAGCAACAAAGCAGCAGGATTAGAGAGTTGACTGTTCACTCATTTGGCTCTTTGCATCCCTGAAGCTTAGGCTAAGTGATCCCGAGATCCACAGTAAACAAAAGGCCACAGGAGCTTATCTTCATGCTGGTAACCGGTACAGGGTAACTATAGCAGGAAACAGCCTACACTTTGCTCAGAGCAGGCTCTAAGGGAAGACACATCCGGGTGGGAAGCCAGGCCAACCCTGTCCTTAGAAAACTGAGTCCTGGGTCAATCCCAACTGGAAGGATATAAAATGTGACTTAATAATTAAGTCAAAAATATTCCAAGCACCATCCTTTAATGCAGTCAGGACATTATTTAGAGTGATTCAATTAAGGAGATTATGACTGGAATATGACAGGCAGTGAGTGAAGTTAATATTAAAATGCCAGAACTATGTATCAGGTCCAGTTTCCCAAGCTACCAATAAAGACAGAAAGTTAGGAGACATAGGCTTAAAATGTGTCACATTAGAGAGTGGGGAAACAAGAATTCTCATACAATGGAACAGAAGTATAAATGGGTATAACCTTTTTGGAGGCCAAAGTGGTAGTATCTATCGAAATTTTAATATCAAGACAAAATAAAATTCAAAGGCGAAAACATCAAAAGGGACATTAAGTGATATCACATATAGGTACCAGGAAGATGTAATCATTATGAACACATATTCATGTATAAGGCAACAACTAAAATTTACATGGGGAGAAACAGACAAATCCAACTGACAAAAGATGTTATTAACTAAGACATAAAAGATTTTTTTAAAGCATGAGTTATAAGTTTGAACTAGTTCGGATACCTAGAAA